AGTTATCAAGTGTTATTTGCAATGAAACAAATGTTGAGGATCTTCGAGTACATATTACTATACATGCTTTCCAACTTTCAGCCGGGTATTGGATATATTACTAACTTAATCTTGGTTTCAATGTACCTCCACTCATTATTTTCAGTTCTAATAAACTGATTGGCCATAACTGAAGCTAACAAAGGACAAACTTAAATGAATGGTTTTGATGAACGTCTTACTAGCCGTATCTTGGAACAGATCCACAGATAGTGACTGAGAGAATGAGTTTAAACACTTTCTTCTTGACAGTATATTGACCAAACATTTGCAAAAACCGTGACTGTAAGGAATACAAAGCTGCGTTTGTGCACATAGAAATGGATGTTACTCCAGCTGGCCCTATTAGATTGTACTCATCCCACGTGTTCCCTCAGCTAATTGTCCCTCGAGCTCGCCGATACACTGGAGTCCCCCCCCCCCTTGCAATCCTTACTGACGATGTGAATTTCTTATCCCTGCAATAATTAAAAGGCTCATTCGCATTATACCCTATTTTGTCATCACGTTCCGTTTTTCTCCCTTTCTCGCACGCACAGTTCTATGTCAGAAGAGGACCTATCCACACAACTACCAAGTCACCCAGTCACGCACCCAAACGAAAGAAAACACATAAAACCTCGTTTTTCGAATATTTGTGCTTTCAGACACCTGGAATAGATAAAACCTTTCGGATAAACCGGGAGCGGTATGTCGTAATCATATAGTGTTTTGGCTTTCGATTCCACCACATCGTACAGTTGTGCACGAGGTCTGTTTCCAGGGAGTATAAAGTACCTGATCAAATGGGTTCAGCTACTATCTAAAATAATAATTTTGGTCTGTTGTTGGGAAATATAGGGATTGAAACGTTGGGTTTTCCTTATCCACCGCGTCACCAAATAATGCAATAAGATACTGATATACCGTATATTTTCCTCAAACGAACGTTTATAGACAGACAAGGACAGGTACCATTGGCAAAAGGTGAAACGATAACTCCAGTGAATTTAATGCGTCCAACAAATTTGAAGCCCACAATAGTCGAATGGCAAATTTCAACTAATATTCCTTCACTGATCCGCCAAAGTTTTATATTGATTTTTATTATTTGGTTGGAAAGAAGAAACAGGAGTAAACCTTTGTTCTATCATCATAGAGCATTTCGCAACGAATGATTCCGAATTTATAGGTTTCCCCCCGCCCGTGATGATCGGCCCGGGGGTTATATTATACACATTTCTGAATGTTTTCAGATGTGGTTTTATTCACTTGTTTCAACAGTGTGTGGTTTATGCTCCTCACATATTTCTGCATTCATCGCAATTGAACTTCACTCGTATTGTTGTAGCAGATATTATCACTGACCATTTATGTATATGAGAGAACATGTTATCATTTTTAGCATGGCAAATGATAAAGTGCACATTGTAGAAGGTTAATTCTGTCGCATTATAAGTGGTCAGTAGGGCGCGGAAATGTTTAGCGCTCCTAGATCCGAACGGTTGGCGCAAAATCACAACATTGGGTGGGATACAACAGGAGTGGAGAAAATCAAGGGGACTCATCGAAACGCAACAATTTCAGTTAGTTGAACAAGCTTGCGCTCACCTATTTACCGAAAACAACTTATTATTTCTCCTTATTCCCGTGCTCTTCTACCGGAATGAAATAATCAGTATGAACTCGCACCTTGAAATTTTCCTAATTGTTTTAACCGTGTATTAAACCACCTATCAAGGACTGCTGAAGGAACAAACCGTGGTTAGTTGGATACGGTGCCAGCCGACACTGTAGCTTTTTTAAAACACTCCAAGCAATCTCATTTCATGTTCAATGGAACCTAATGTGTACAATCAAGGAAGAATGATTCGAATAGTGAATTGGATGATCAATGTAATCTTGCCTTGTTTCTTTCAAATCCCGTTGAGAGGAATCCTTTCTAAATGGCGATCCGTTTTGTATTCCTTTGTTGTGACAGAAAATGGTTTATTCGCGTACCAACCAGATGAGGGTGTTGCTGCTGCTACTGCTGCTGCCGTCACAGCTTCAGTCTATGTTGGTCTCTGATGCACCGGTCGGATGATCAGTCGTGCTAAGTTAATCCAAAACACCGATATCCAATTCCATGTTCTCCAGTCAACCGGATTTCATTGAGCTTTAAACTTGTCAGAAAACGAACTGGTTGATGAAAGACTCATAGGGTAACTGTCATTTGGGCTATCCAAACCTTAACTGCTCATTCGGTTTCAGTGGTCCGGGACGTCTTAGGTTTGGAACACAACGAAATCCAAGCTTTGCAATGCTTCTGCATGGTCTCTCTCAATGCAGAAAGTGTGAAAATTTCCAAACACGGATTCAAACTGCCAAATACAGATATTATAATGTAGTAATAGACACGTATGATTGAATTAATACTATAATTTATCACTCCACGAAGATCCAACGAAATCAGGGTGACGGCAAACACTTCCATTGTCGTCATTTCCACTACCAAAATGACTGTGCTCACAAACAGTCGCATTTCTGCCGTGATCAAGATAGGTTGTTTTGATCGTTCATTAGATTCCGCACGATAAGATATGTTATTTTGTGATTCAAGCTTTGATTCTGACTTACGAAAACGAATTATGCCAAGCTCGTATAACTTCCATGTGGCCATGCCATTTAACATAGTTAGGGTTAACATTGGAAATCCGTAACGCAGTGTGGTTTCCACAATCGTCACTGTACTGTCACTCAACAGCATTTTTTGAGAAACACACCTCCCGTCGACCGAGGCCACCTTGAATAGACGCGAGAGTGAAGCAAGGAAAGAGAAAGCGTAAATGCTCGACAAACAGATGAGAATGTAACGACACTTGTTTATGTGATACGATCTTGGGTAGACAATCGCCCAGTATCGATCCACAGACTGACAAACCACAGTAAACACGAACAAACTACGAAATGTGCGGATTAGAAATCCGTTTTGTAGGAACAAACACACGACCGGATTTACGGGGTGGTTCGGATAAGGTAAGGTGAAATTACTGGTGGAAATCATACAAATTGAGGTCACAATGAAACCGGCGTCAAAGATGTTCTGGTTGCAAAACAGAATTTTTGTCAAAAGTGATCTGATTTGGGAATGGATGATGGAAATGGCACAGTATATGTTGAACAGGGCACCGAAAGATAAGAATACACAAACCAAAGTGACATTGAGTTCATTCATGGGTGGAAAAGCGAAGTTGTTGTACACGATCGGTGTCGCGTTTGTCGTGGAAGTCATCAGCGATAAACTAAATGAAAGCGGCCAGTTAGAAATCCAAAATCCGCTGAAGGAAATGACTAAAACACAAATTGTTCTCATCCTCTCGAGGATATGCATCTTTGACTTGCATCCCAACCGAAAAATTTACTTTACGGTGATTGGTTGAAAAGGTGCAACAGTGTGACCAATATCACGTGGGCTACTTCTGTTCAGACGAACGCTGTCGATTGGCTGATACTGTTGGCTTTATACTCTTGATCTTAAAGAAGTTAAGACTGAACCACGAATTCATCCACGTTCACAACACCTAGAAATGAAACAAATTCCTCCTTTGTATAGAATATGTTCAATAAAAATCGGAAATTGAACCGGCCTTGGATACTTAATTAGGAGTAGATACTTCTCTACACTCGTTGCGGGTGCCACGAATCCTGGTCAACTCTGTCCATCTGTGTGATGAATGTAGCAAAAAATACATGACCGATAAAAGTAAACCATAGTATTCATTATTGTAATAACCGAATAAAGTATGAAAACAAAAGGTTATAAATAATATCCCAATGTAGTAACTTGACGACATATGATACCAAAAAATCACTCGGGTAAATAGTTTATACCTGTCACCAAACAAGTGATTTTATTGTCCATTCAACTGATCCTGTTACCACACCGTACAAGGCAAATTGTCTGGTTTAAATGAGTTCATCTGATGACTGGCATCGACTGATTCAAGGTCTTTTAACTAGCGAGACTGCATACGGTGATATGGTATCCAGGTCAGTGCAATACAGATCTGCTGAAGCTTGTATAAGCTCCTGAGAGTTTTGCCAATTTATTACATAAACATATATATATATATAACGTGAACGCTACACGAACAGAAAAGTGAAAATATCTTTCTAATAGAACACAGTTAGTCACGTGTCCGAAAGAACACGTTTGATTTTAACCGATGCGCGTAAACAAAAGTAACTTTAAGGATTGAATTGTCTGGTATCGCGTATGGAGAGATAGAAGTGCGTGATCTCATACACCATGATTCTGACACGAGTCCTGAGACAGCAGATTTCATTATTAACTTTAGCAGAGTATTTTAAATTATAATTCACTACCACTCCCACCATCAGTCCAAGGACTTATATTAACAAGAATATACTGGAATTTTGTTTGATGACTATTGATACTGGTCACCAGTAAAGTAACTAGTAGAATATATTTCAGTTTCGGTTTATTTATTGCTCAACAATTGTGTAGCCATGATTCGGGGAAAGAAAAGCAATCAGTCGAAAGCTGCCAAACAATAGATGCCCTTAAACTGAGAAGCTTTCAGTATACGAAATATAATGTGGGTGGAGAGCTTGTACCGTTCGACAAATTCAAATGAAGATTCACACGCAATGGAAATGTTTGTAATAACTGACAAAGAGCACCAGGACAGCTGTTTCGTCCTTCTTGGGACTAGTCAGCAGTGCTTACTTTTTGTGTCCCTGTCAAGACTCGAATTGCGGTGCTCTTTGTCAGTTATTACAAACATTTCTATCACATTTGAATGCAGTACCACGTGGGGAATTACGATTTTCCAAGGAGGTAAACCCACACTCAAGACTATCAAGAGTGCCTGGTCCCTCGAAACAATCGAACGGACTAATCCAAGCTTAATAATCTCAAATGAAGATTATTTAACATGGGGCTTCATGAAATGCAGTATCGTCCAACTTTAGTAGATAGATAATATAACTAGAAGAAGAGAAACAAGACATCAAATTAATGGCTGCGGCAAAACACAGATCGTCAATCATGTAGATGGGCGCCTGGGATAGCTGTTACGTGACGGAATCATAGACAGTTGATTTGTGCGTGCATAAGAATCAAAAAGCTTGTATCGACTTCAAGTGCTCGATGAAGACAAACATACATCATTTACGGTGTTCGTGTAACAGATGAGGAATATTTGTTGTAAGTGATAATAAAATTTGCTGTATCCGAACATCAAATATGACTTGCCATTGGTTCAGAGTGTAGTGAACGACGTGACTATTAGTCACTTATCGATTCAGGGGCTTACGATGATTTCTGATGAGAAACGCAATGCTGTCACAGTTCACAAATCCGTTTGGACCATCTGTGCTTTTAGGTGTGACAGTACTTTCCTAATGCAAACTTAATCCTGCAAACTAACACAATCCGTCAGGTGATATCTGAGGCCCTACAACCTTCATATTTTCAATCCCACTGAGAAAAGCGCTTTAAAGGTTCTAACACCCGTGGACGGTTCTATCCACCAAACAACGAAGCAGTCAGCACAAACCTTTCAATCAGAGGAAATACAAATGTTGGCCTTCAGTTGTCAAACGACCCTGATCTATTTTTGCCTTGAAGCGGACTCAACAGAAAATATTTGATCGCTAATAACCTTCCCAGTCAAAATATATTCCAACCGACGTCACTAAATGCCGTTTCACACAACCAGCAGTTTGATCCATCATCCATGTGGGTGAAATGGTTTATCTCTTGAAGACTTCAATCAATTTTGCATTTATTGTATATTGTTTGAGAGTGATCAACTGACCGGTTGTCGGAATGCCGCTGTTTGTTGGTTTTTATAAACATAAGTTGCATCAGGCTTCCTCATTCGGAACATGCTGAGAGGATCCGAGAGAGAATATAAAATTTTGGATAGAATTACAGTTAAAATGATATTACTGTTCATGTAACCTAATGTGACCTATCTTGACGTGCTTTAGACGAACAGTCAAAGGCACAATGAATAGTGTGAAATTTGTATCTGTAATGATGAAAATACTTCCAGAATTTCATGAAAAGAATCGTCTGGTAAAGTTATTGTTTTTCAGAATAATGCTCCGTGTCATATTTCACCATGGGTTAGTAAATTATTTAATTAAGGATTCTAGTTCACTTACTTGCTTTTATACCTTAGAAAAAATGCGTGACTCTAAGGTCCAGTGCATGCCACTTCCCTCCAATAGTCGGATCTCAATGTGATTGAAAAAATATTTCTGTTCTGAAGAGAGAGGACAATGTGCTACCTGTATATTGAACATTTGAGGCAAAAGTGAGATAAGCGATGGAGCACAAAAATAGAGAATGACTCTTAACAAAGTTAGCTGACTCCACACCAAGGAGATTCAAAAAAGCCCTAAACAACAAAGGCAAACCAGTCGACTACTAGTGTACACAAAGTTTAAATCTTAATTACTATCAATGTTAAATTGTTGTAAATAAAAAACTGTTTCATTCTCTTTAGTTACTTCTTAACTCATCATGATCTAGGTCGACCATTACTGACGAAATGGGAGTATCCGCTACACTGTGAACCATTTTATCGGATGAGTATAAACGAATCAGAAAAGTCACGTCTATAAAGACTCACCAAGGCTTATTTATTATTATTTGGAAAAAATCTCTATTATAAATGCTATTGCCTAAATGAACCCACAAGTTTTTCCACAGGGAAACGTTGCTTCAGTTTCGAATAAACCTGTATCATGATTTGAAGCGAATCAGGCTAATGAAGGTAAGACTATGTGACTCAATCTATTGGACCAAATCTGAATCACTATTTTGCTACATCTTACGGTACATGTGAAATCGTATTAGCTTTCCTGTGAAAGTACACGCGGGACTATTGAATTTGACCTACGTCGTTACAAAATTAGACAATTTTCACAATTTTGCACTTCAAATAGTCGATTTTGCACGTTTGTATTATCAAATTCTCTGGGCCAAATGTGCTGTCCCACAGCTCCTCGAGCACTAGTAATTGTGTTTCTTTGAATTTTCCGAATTTCGGCTCTCGCTTACCCCTGAGGAATCGCTACAAACGGCTAAGAAATGGCAATCAATATAACATGTCAATGTAGTATAGATAACAGTGGGTAGTGATTTTCGCTGCCACCAGGTTCCATCAACAGAATGACGATTCTGTGTAGTTTCGTTTCCAGGTGACAGTTGCTAACTCGCGGGAAAAATGAATGAGATCCAGAATTTAATACTTTTAAAACAATGCATAAATGTGTAAGTAATTTTACTCGCGGAATGTTGGTTACACCAAGAGATTGAGAACAAGGTCATTGGAGCCAGCGGTTTTGATATTTTCAGGAGTGGCCGGTAATGAATGTTCACAACAGGAGTGGGTGACATCGGAGTGGGCACCCTAGTTGGTCTAATAACACTCACTTAATGTTGAATTTCTCAATCAGGAAAATGTTTGGACCTTCATTCGCTACCAGTCCTACTTTCTCAGTCGATCTGGATGAATTTACTTTGTGAATATCCACGATATTCCTGATTAATCCACCTCCGATGTAAAACTGTTTACTTAGTCTATATCAATACAATTGGCCACTTGCATTGACCATTCTTTGGGAATTATTGCTAACGAATTTAACCTCGTTGTCACTTCTTTTCTGATTACCTTAGGTTGATTTAACCTTGCAAATTTCCCCAATAGAATTAATGGTAATTCCCGTGGC